ATGGGCTGCAAACATCCAGAACAGATAACTTCTTGCCCGGTTAGCTCAATCGGTAGAGCGTGAGACTTTTAAAACTCTGTATTTGTTCATGAAATGCGGAAAAAAAGTCAATCTCAAGGTTGCGGGTTCGACCCCCGCATCGGGCTAGTCGCCGTTTTTTTTGAGTGGCCAGTAAGTGTCAGAGTATACGGTTTCAGAGTCGCTTGGATGTGAGGATTGTTTTAGTATATTTTTCTATAATTGTACAGATGGGCGAGAGGCGGGCAAGCCGCCTCTCTATTTGTCAATATTGGCACGTCGTCTCACTGCAGGGCGGATATGATGGAAATTCTTGTTCCAACAGGTGTATAGGTAAAGGACTACAACGTCAACACTGTTCAAACGAGCGAATTACCTATATGGTTGTAGGGACCGGCGAGAGGCAGACAAGCCACCTCTTCTACTTTGCCTCGCTACTTTGCTTCTCTACTTTGCACATCGGGGCGAGAATCTTCTTCCAACGGACAACGCCAACGCCATCCGCCTAACGTCTAACGCCTCTTTTTATACGTCTTCCCGGCCGGCTTTTCCTCCTCTTCGTCAGAGTCGGCAAATTCGACCTCTTTCACCTTGCGTGCCTTTTTGCTCGGATTCGCCAACGAACGACCGGGAGCAGCCTTGGGGGGAGGGGCGACTGGCGCTGAAGAAAAAGAGTGTCAAAAAGAAGACGGTACGACCAACAGTGGCACTACTCACGCGCGTCATGCTTCTTTAGTTCGTTGGTGACAAAGGCCAACTCTTGCTTGACCTTTTGGAGTTCGTTTCGTTCCTGCGTCGCGATCCGTGCCGACGCTCTCACCGACGCCCTCCTACTCGCCGACTTTGGAAACAAACTTGCCTCTTGTGTGGAAGAAATGTGGGTAGCAATCGCAAACAAAACTTCCCCAGCACGTTTCGACCCTTGCTCCTTTGGCACCTCGTTTAGGCGAATACGACGAATCGCCCCAGCGACTGGACTGTCGATCCGAAGCTATAACGAGTGGGGGGTCAGGATTCGTCGTCATTGTCGATGCCACCCACTCACAAAGGGCTCGGTTGGACCAAAGCTACGCAGGGAATCCGTCTGCGTCTGGGTCGAAAACGTTTGAGATTCGGGCACGGTCCCACCAATCGAAAGCATTCCCTCTTTGAAATTCTTTGCCGTCGAAGAAATAATCGTCTTTAGCGCTTCAGGCCCACCCGTCGATGTCTAACGGCCACCTTTGAGTCGACGACGCTGTGGCAAAAAACGATAGGCACGCACGGCAATCTCTTTGACGTCTCGCATCGTCCATCTCCCTGTCCACCATCGTCCGGCTTCTCCAATCTCTCCCACTTCAAACACGACACATTCTTCTTCCTCGTTGGACACGACCGGCAACAATTCGAACAGTGGGTCTTGGTCCTCGTCGTCGTCTGCGTCTTCAGGCGTCGTGTTTGGGTACGCCAATACGACGAATCGTTTCGAATCTGCCGCATAGACGACTTGGACGAGGGAAGAAAACGGCGCAAAGGTGGCCGCAACAAGAGTCGACATTGGCAAGGGCCAGGTCCAAGTTGTATGAATAGTCCCTTCCTCTACAGACCTCGAGTATCCTTTACGAATCTACACGTTGCATGGCGAACAAAAAAGGTCAGCTATCACTGTTCACTCAAGATCCGAAGAGCGAGGCAGACGAGGCGGGAGTCGGGTCCAAAGTGAGGCTGCCGCCCATTAACGACTTGGACCACGACCACGACCACCACGACCACCACGACCACCACGATGGCGAGCACAGACGTGTTCGAGACCATCTTGACCTCTCTTCGCTCTGGGTAAGCTCGCAGAGACATGGTCCAGAAAACCCGAGTTGACCCACTGTTTACCATCAGCGACGATGCAGTGCGCGAAAAGGGACTGCAAAACTTTCAAGGCTTTGTGAGTGTGGCACTTTGCAGGAGAAACTGAAAGCCAACTCTCGTAGGTACGAAGCAGCTTGGCGAGCAGCAAATCCGACGACCAAGAGTCGTTTTGGAAAGAAATCATCAACAGAATCTTGTTTCCATTGACTGCTACGAGTGATACACCACAGGAAAAGCTTGTCGGAATCGCTGCCATTGGCGAGTTTTACCAATCCACCACAGTCGCTTACACTGACCATCTGGCAGATAAATTGCTACTATCGCCTTCCGACGATGCTCATCCGACGTCTGCTCCTGCTTCGCAGAGTCTAAACCCTTCTGCGTCGTCAACGTCGTCTACTCGCACTCTACTCTATCGACTCCTCCGATACCTCAAGAATCTACTCCCAGACCCAAATCTCGTCGTCATGATGGCGGCTTCTCAAACGTACGGCGCCATATTCCGCATCGGGGGTGCGATTGTGGCCGAAACCGTGGGCGAAATGGAGATTCAACACGCAGTAGGGCTCATGAGCGAAGTAGAAGGAGAATGGACCGGGAGCAAGAACCGAGATCTCACGATTGCACGGCTCAGTCAGTCTCAGCCGACACCGACGCCTACTACCAGTGCCAAACCGGCCCCTCCTCGTCCACCGAGAGAAAAGATTCTGGCCCCACACGCGCGTATGGCTGGCGTCCTCATTCTCATCCAAATCGCCACCTACGCGCCTCATATCTACCATCAACACGTCGCTCTCATCCTCAGTCGGATCATGTATCCTCTTCGTGACCCCTCTCGGTTCCTTGTCCCCGTCTCGGCCAACAACGCCAACAACGACTTGTTCCCAGGAGGAGGACAGGCTGGAAACATTCTCGACTCTCTTTCTGGTATCGCAGGAACGTTGGCGACGGGCTCCGGAGACCACAAACTCGGAGTGGAAGCGCAAGATATCGTGCGCCGGCTAGCTGCGAGGTTGTTTGGTGTCACGCTCGCCGTCATCGAAGGTCGTGAGCCTGGACTCTTGGAGCAAGCCGCACTAAACGAGGAACAAGCACTCGCGTCGAAACCGGCTCCAAAGAAGCGAGACACGATTGCGTTAAGCCCAAGTGCAGCACGACTCGAACGGACAGGGACGTTGTCCACGATCCATCAACAACAACCCTTGTCCCCTATCACACCTTCTGGTAGCTTTCGTGGACCCCTACGTGCCAACGAACCCCTCTTCAACGTCGCCACTGCTGCCTCGAGAGATCTCCTCGCATACAGTTCCACCGAGCTCGATCATGTCGACGTTCGGCGCTTGGCGCCTTCTGCACCGTCATCACAGTCAAAGGGAGACATTAACCGTGCTTTTGGTGCATTGTTAATCTTTCGAGAGTTGCTTGAGAGCGGTCTCACCTCTCTCGCCGGCGTCTCTCTCAACAATCCTTCCAAATATCCAGGCGACAAGAAACGCCTCGTCATGGAAAGGAGAGGGGACGACGCCCCACGAGGTCTCGTTGGACACTTGGATGGATTTCAACCTCCTTCTGCCTCCACCTCGACGATTTCTACTGGCATCAGCAAATCCAACTCTCTTCAATCTCCCCCACCTCCAAACTATGGCTCTAGTGGCTCTCCTATGGCCGCATTGGAACGGCCCATGACATACCCACGCCTATTTGGAGTCATCTTCAAACTCGCCCTCTCCCATCCATCTCCGGCAGGTCATACTTCTCTCCTAGCAGCTAGCACACACTCGATTGCAAACCTCTTGATGGCTCCCTCGAGTCCCATCGCTCCTTCTCCCTCCAGTTCGACGTTTGTCGGTACACCTTCGTCCTTTACCGCAGCTGGGAATGCGATATCAAGTGGGAGTGGCGGCATCGGGACCGGCGTTGGGTGGAGTACTCCTCTCCCTGCCTTTTCCAAATCCGATACCGAGGATCAACTCCGAAAGGAGGCGTTGAGCCTGTTACCCGTGTGTGCTGCCTTTGATACCGAGACATTCAAACAAGGTGGATTCTTTAGAGGGACGATGTATGCCATTCTCTGTGCCTGGGGTGTGGAATCCTATTCAAACTCGTCGTCGACGCAAATTGGGCGTCCATCTGGACGCAATAGACACCACCATCATCACGATGAAGAAGGCTTGGGACTTTTCGCGGATGAAGAAGGAGACGAATTCGTTCGAGAAGAAAAGAGGGATACAGAGCGAATGGTCTCGTCTATGAAGGGAAAGATTCCCGTCGAGACAAAGGATCGAAGCTATTTGGTTAGAGTCGTCGGGGAACTGACATTTGCAATGAGGAGATCCAACGTGAGTCTGTCGCTCTAATAACCCGAGTATCCTCTCAATGCTCCTCAGGCAATGTTGTCTTACATTTGGGAACTGGGAGTCATCTTTAACGGGGCGTTGGAAAGTCGGGTGCAACCGCCTTTCCCGTGGCGATACGACAACTACTACTCTGAGGCTGCCACCGCGGCAAGGGAATCCTCCGCGACCAAGGCCAATCCAGCAAATCGAGGAGGACCTACTGGTTCGAAACGTGCGTCAACAGCCATTGAAGCGTTGAGCATTTCTACGGGTAAAGGGGCACCGACTATCGGTGAAAGAACGTCGTCGTCGTCGTCAATCAAATCGGGACCTCGTCGAGGTTTGGGAGGAAAGAATGGCAAGGCAATCGTCATTACCAGAGGCAGTGTCTCTGACGAGGTGCTCTTTGAGGCGATTGCACTCCTCTGCACGGCCCTTGGCGTTCATGCGCTCAAAGTGCTGGGGATTGCTGGATGGAAAGAGGGAGAGGATCATGGAGACAGTCTAGGTGGCGAAAAAGAAGTTGACGAATCAGAGGACGGTACGTGTCTATTATCTCGCTCGTGTCTTCTATAGTCATCTTATCTGCCACAGTGCACAGGCAGGCTGCGATCACCAAAATGTTCCGCTTCGGTCTCAACCCGGCGCTCTGTGCAAGTTTGCCCCACATTTCTCACAACATTGCTGTCAGTCTTAAAATGCTCCAAGGTATGTACCGCCTCCTCCTGTCTATATCAGTAGTGACAACGTTGGACAGAACACCTCCTTAACGAAATCTCTACCATCCTCTCTGGCCATGGGTATCAGGCGCCTGGTGCTCCCGAAACGGAACCAAGGGTGGTGACGACTTATGAGGTATGCCACACTTAGTCACATGAACCGGTTCTAACTCTTCCGCAGGAGAAGGGAGGCTCGCCCACAACCAAGAAAAAGGCCACCAGCTCGGCTTT